CCTGCTCGTCCCCCTGCCAGGCCCTCAGCATTCCTGGCCGCATGGCCCACGGCCTGAAGCCCGTCCTTGTCCTCTCACCTGGTCTCTGGGCCTTGCCTGGCCCCACGCCAGCGCCTGGCCCCGCTTCCTCAGGCCCGACGCGGGGCGGAGGGGCCGCTGGGGGCACCGGGCGTTGTCAGAGCATCGCTGGGGAGAGCGTGCGTGAGGCAGCCTGGATCGGGCAGTGTAGGAAGTGTCCGAGGACAGGGACAGAAGTCCTTTGATGGGACAGTCAGGCCGGCTGAGAAGCCACCTGCCAGGAGGAGGGAGACCCCAAGCCTGGGGGTGAGGGTTTGGTCTCTGGAGGGGTGAGCAGCTGCAGAGGACGGGGCGGGAAGGAGAGCCGCCTGGACCTGTCGCATCCCATGTGCCTGAAGGTCACGGGGGCGGCCGTGGCCGCAGAAAGGAGGCTGGCGGGGGCCCAGCGTGTGCCGGACGCGGCGCGGAAGCCACCGGGGGTGACAGAACCGTGCACATGCAGAAGAGCAGAGCGTCCCGCAAAGCGGGTTTTGTCATTCTTAGGGGCGAAAACTAAAAACGAGCCACGGTGCTTGCCACCGGTTCTTCCGCGTCTACGTTGCCCAGCTGCAGTGGCGACTCAGGAAGAGGCCGAGGCCGGGTCCCTCGCCTGGCGGCCCCGGCCGAGGCGGCCGTGCGGAGGTGGCTGCGGCGAGAGCCCGGGAGCGTCACGGCCACGTCCCGCCACACGGAAGGGCGTTCGGAGACAGCCCGTGCCGCAGGCGGTGTTACTGCATCGTGCTGTCGGCAAAACGGCGGCTCCGTTTCCCAGCCAGCGCTCTTCACAATGCCAGGGGGATCTCAGGGCCACTTCGGACACCGGGAAGGCTCGCGAGACGTGGGCCAGTGTCACGGGCCGGGACGGCTTGCCTTTGTTTGGCAGGCGTAGAAAGAGTTCATTTATCCGCCTGATTTTCAGATAAGACAATCAGAGGGGAAAAACGGATCACTGCAGTGATTTGTGACTAGGAACGCTAGAAAGAAAAAATGCGCGTGATGCACGACTGAGAATTCAGGCCAGCGAAGCGTCTCTGAAACTCTGCAGCCTGGAAGAGAGAGGCTGGGGCGGAAGGGCGCCCAGACCCTCCGCCTCGTGAGGGGACGGTCAGCGTGCGCAGACGCCGCCGCTGGAGGTGACGCTGGGACCGAGGCGGGCGTCTGAGGGTTTCCGAGGACGTCGCAGGTCACCGATGACGGGGCCCTGGCGCTCGTCCCCAAGCCCTTCGCGGGCACCTGTACTCGCGATGGTGGCCAGGCTTCCTCGAGGCAGGTCCCTGTGACTGTCAGGCCTCGGGCCTGGGTGTGTTCTGGGACTCGACGCACTTTGTGAAGCGGACCATCGTGGGAAGGGTGGCTTGTTCCCGCGGGCGCAGGTGGCTGCAGCCATTGCAGTGGAAGGCGCTGCGTCCTCCAATGTGGCCCAGGGCACCGTCACCGGCCACCAAGGGACTCCAACCCCTGGACACACAGAGAGTTAGGGGATTTGACAGCTGGCGCGTCGGCAGGGAGGATCTGGAAGGGTCCCACAGGAACTGTCGGGCTGGGCGAGACGGCCTGCTGCTGGCCAGCAGGCAGCACTCACGCCCACCTGGGCCGAGGCGGGCGGCTGTCCCTGCTCCACGGACTCTGAGCAGAACTGCCCCAGCCACGTGGGAGAGCCCCCCACGTGGGGCCCCCAGCTCCCAGGGCCTCCAGCCGCCTTCCTGCTGGCGCTTCCTCTGGCAGCAAGCAGCCCACGGAGCGGGGACGGAAGTGGCTTCTGCAGACAAATGACGGAGCCGTCATGGCATAGGTGGCTCCGGCGAGGTGACGACTCGCCGGGAGACGGGGAAATGGCCAGCCTGTGGGGTTCCCTTTCCTCTCCTCCTTCCTGCCTGAGAGAACAAAACCTTTAGTGCTTGTCGAATTTCCCTTTCCATGGAGTCCCCGATTCTCACCCAGAAACCCTTTCCCGCTTAGTCCTTGTGCTTGCTGTCCGTCCTCCAGCTGCCGCCCCCGGTGGCCGCCCATGACAGAGGGCTGCAGGCTCAGAGCAGGGAGCAGAACGTCTCGGCTGTGACTGCAGAGAGGCGAGACGATGCGGTGACCACACCTGACGGAAATGGAGTCTGAGCCGGGGAAGGGTGTGCGGGCTTTGACGCCCCCAGACGGGCCCGCACAGCTCCGACCAGCGTCCCTCAGCTCCTCGGACACCCAGCAATACCGCCTCCGCCTCCCCCTCACGGAGCTGAGAAAGCTTCGAGCTGAAAGGCCCAGGTTTGCCTCTAAGAGGCCGCTTTAGCTGTCTCCTGCGAAATTCGGTATGTTGTTTTCATTTTCATTCAGTCCAAGATAGTCCCTGATCTGCCTTGTGATTTATTCTTTGAATCATGGGAGACTTTCGGAGGGTCATTGTTTAATTTGGAAATACTTGGACGTTCTCTTCAGTTGAAGTCTGATTTGGCGAGATGACAAACTTATAAAACTTCATTATTTCAAAATATACTGAGGCTTGTTTTATGGCTGACTAGATGGTTGAGCCCAGTGCACCTGAAAGCAGTGTGTGTCCTGCCATTGCCGGGCGGAGAGCTGTGCGTCGGCCGCTCCGGGTGGCGGTTCCTGGCGCCGCGCGGCCTCTGCACCCTCTCTGCTCCCTCCTCTGCCGACCTGCTCCACAGGTTTCGGGGACAGGGGCGCTGAACCTTGGCCGTAACTGGACGTGGCCGTTTCTCCTCACGGTTCCACCAGAGTTCGCTTCATTCGTGCGTGTCAAAGCCCGGTCCGGGTGGACACATGTTTGCGAACGTCAGCTCTCTGGATTGACCCCATTTTCATGACGTGTTCCCCGTTCCGATACCGGTGTGGTCGCCCAAGCTTTCCTGCGGGGGGCGTAGGCGTGGGGCGCCTCTTCCACCTGTGCGTTTCTAGCCCGAATGGGTCACAGGTGAAGTGGGTTTCAGGGAGATGGCACAGAGCTGGTGCCCGCTTTTCCGTTCAGTGTGACGTGCTGTGTCTTTCGATTTGTTTCCAGCTGGTAACGATCCGTGAGGTTGGGGTCAGGTCTCCGGAGAGCTCTTTGTTCCCGTTTGGCCCGTCTCTTCTATGTTTCCTGTTTTCTCTGTTTATTCCTTCTTTCCAATTAATTTTAGGCTTTATCTGCTGCATTGGCTAATTAGGTGCCACTCTTCGTTTTAATTCTGAGTGGCCGTTATAGGGTTACAACCTCCATCCTTAGCTAGTCGTAGATGTAGCACCGCTTCACACATCACACTGCTTCAAGTGACTTCACACCGATTCAAATGACATCACACAGCTTCCAGTGACATCACACCAATTCAAATGACATCACACAGCTTCCAGTGACATCACACCGCTTCCCGTGACATCACACCGCTTCCCATGACATCACACAGCTTCCAGTCACCGATTCAAATGACATCACACAGCTTCCAGTGGCATCACACAGCTTCCAGTGACATCACACCGCTTCCAGTGACATCACACAGCTTCCAGTGACATCACACCGCTTCCCATAAGAACTCACACCCCCACATCCTCCACACATCCTTTGAGGAATCGTCGTCAGAGATTTTGTTTCTGCTCTATGTTCCAAACACCACGATACGCAGTTAGTGTCTTTATTTAAACAGTTCCATTTTAAATGCACTTAAAACAGAAAGAACCTTTCTGTTGACACACAGTCACCGTTTCAGGGTTCTCCCGCCACCTGCGGAACCTCGCTGAGCATTTCTCACGGTGCACACCTGCTGGCAGTGGGTTCTCACAGCTTTGGCTTCTGCTAAAAGAATTTTGCCTCCTTGTGGGGGGACGTTTCTGGATCGTGGCAAACTATCCCGGCGTAAAGCTCACCGTTTTAACCATTTTAAGCGCACAGCTCGACGGCCCCGAGTACACCCGCGGTGCGCCGCGGTCAACCCCCGCCCGCCTCAAGGATCTTCTCGTCTTCTCGAATCGGACCTCTGTCCCCACTGAACCCTCAGTCCTCTGCCCTCCCCGCCCTGGCTCCGCCATCTACCTCTGCCTGTGAGTCCGGCCTCTCCGGGACCTCGGACAACAGGACCCGCACGGCATTCGTCCGTTGTGTCTGGCTGCTCTCGCTCGGCACAGTGTCCTCCAGGGTGGCACATGCTGTGGTGAGTGTCAGAAAGTCCTTCCTCTTTACGGCTGAGTAGCATCCATGGGCGGACGGGCCCCATCGTGTTTATCGGTGGACACGCGGGTGGCGCTCCCTCGTGGCTACTGGAAATAACGCGGCCGTGAACAATGACGGACAGATGTCCGTCCGAGTGCCGGCCTTCGACTCTTCTGGATGTGCACACGGAAGCCGTGGTGCTGGATCACGGGGGGCTCGGTGTCATTCCCCGAGGCGCCTCCACACCGTCCTCTGCAGCGGCGGCTCCGTTGGACCCACCAACAGCAAACGAGGTCCGGGTCTGCCCGCAGCCTGGGCTGCGCCTGTCGGCTGGGGTTCCCTAATTGGAGCCACGCTAACGGGTGTCGGCTGGGACCTCTTTGTGGTTTTGATTTGCTTTTCTCTAAGGATCAGTGACGCTGAGCGTGATTTTATGAGTTTATCGGTCATCCGTGTGCTTTCTTTGGAGAAATGTCCATTCAAGTCCTTTGTCCATTTTTGAATTGAGTTGTTTGGGAGGTTTGGGTTGTTGTTGACTTTTAGGAGTTTTCATATATTCTGGATATTAATCCCTCATCAGATATGCAATTTGCGAATATTTTCTCCCATTCTGTGGGTTGGCTTTTTACTCCGTGGATAATGTCCTTTGATGCACGAAAGTTTTTAATTTTGATGAAGTCAATTTATCTACTTTTTCTTTGATTGCTTGCACTTTTGGTGTCACATCAAAAATCCCATTGCCAAAAAAGAAACACCAACAGCAACAACAACAAACAGAGCTCGTAGAGCCACAACTGCACGGCGGTGCCGGAGGCAGGAGGTGGGGTTGTGCAACATGGGCCAACTGTCTTCCTCGTTCATCTGATTATTCAAATAAATCGAACGTTTTTATTAAAAATCCATTGCCAAAGCCAAGACCTTGAAGATTTGCCCCTGCGTTTCCATCCAAGAGTTTCGCAGTTTCGGCTCTTACGTTTAGTCTCAGCCGTCGAGTGAATTTTCGCCTTTAGCGTGAGGAAGCTATTGATCAGTTGTCTTCTGGGGGTGGTTGCGTTTTCCTGCTTCTCGTCATAGCTGTCTTTTTCGTCTCTGCTAGACTCCACGAGCTCTGTGTTCGCGGTGATGTAGATTTTGGGGGGGTCCTCACTCTGGCAGGAAGTTAGTTTTCTCCATTTGCAGCATTTTGCTGACACGCGTCTGGGCAGCCTTTGCTTCAGGAAAGGTGCGTCCGCTCTGCTGCGGGGCCTCCCAGGACCCGCCGGGCTCCCCGCATGACCGGCAAGCCGCCTGCCCTGGCTGGAGGCAGCTTGGTGGTCCTCAGCCCCGCGTGAGCTCTGGGGCCTGCAGCGCCTCATCTCATGGCAGGGTGGAGGTGTCACACCTTTGCCAAGGTCAGCGACACCCCAGGCCATCGCTGCTTGGTCCTCCAGACCACTTACAGCTCCAGACATTTCTGCGTTCAGCCCCAAACCACCTTACCCAGCCACCTTTCGCCGTCCCTCAGGAAGTATTGCCCTGCCTGTGTCCCACGGTGTCCTGTTGTGACGCTGTGGCCGTCCCACGCAATGCTGGCGCGTGCTCCCTCCTGCGGCTGACAGCATCTGCGGGGGCCTGTCCTCTGAGTTGTCCGTGGGATTTCAAATGGCATCAGAGAAGAGGAATTTTTGAACTTGGGGAGGAGATGTGACTGGTACAGACAAGGTGCCAGTTCCGTAAGTGGCTGGAAATGTCTAAGGTGAAACCAGAGTGTGGGGTGTCCTAGGAGTAGCTTTGTGAGCAGGTCCCGGAGGAGAGCCAGGCGCTTCCTCCGGGCCGGGCCCTTGGGCCTTGGAGGTGGACACTCCTGTGGGCCCTCGTGCTCCTTTCCCAGGCAGACAGGTACATGGCCATCTGCCGCCAAGCTGAGGTGTGACCGTGCATGTGTGTGCGAGGCGCGGCAAGGCCGCCCAGGTGTGCCCAGGTCAGGGACCCCTGCGGCCACCTTCTAGCCCTGCGGCCCCACTCCACAGGGCGACCGGCCTGAGGCGGCGGCTCCTGTTGGTGAGACGAGGCTCTAGGTGACAAGGCCTAGCTGGGGGCTATGGCAGCAGACACACAGCTGGGGCTGAGGTGGGGAGAAAGGAGGGAAAGATGCTGGAAGGCAGGCCCCAGGTGAGGCGGGCCCAGGTGAGGCGGGCCCAGGTGAGGCGGGCCCAGGTGAGGCGGGCCCAGGTGAGGCGGGCCTTGAGGAGGGCAGACCCTGGGCGAGGCAGACCCCAGGCGAGGCAGGCCCCTTTCTCAGTCTGACTCCACGCCCACCCCCATCACGGCCCTCTGAGTGGAGCCTCGGGGCCTGCAGCGGGTCCTCGCTGCTGTCCCGTGGGCCGTGGGCGGGAGGCAGCGCCCTCCAGGACCCCCCTCCCCCTGCAGGCGCGGGGTGCTGCACCTGCACGAGAGCCACGGCATCGACGACCTGGGCCCTCCCCGCTGGCAGCTCACGTCCTGCCTGCTGCTGGTCGTCACCCTGCTGTACTTCAGCCTGTGGAAGGGCGTGAAGACTTCCGGGAAGGTGAGGCTGCAGCCCTGGCTGTCGGGTGCACGGGGACCACGCCTGGCTGGGGACTGGACGGGTCAGCGGGAGCTCAGTGGGGAGGTCAGCACGCGGCCGCGGCTGAGGCAGGGCGCCGGGGGGAAGTGACCCCGGCAGAGTCTGCGGCGTGAACACGAGCACGACATAAACGTTTTGTGACGAAGGCATCTCGGTTATCGTGGGCAAGCAAAGCAATTCTGAGCAGGCGTGTCCCCCGCCTGTGACAGCACGCGCAGCGCCGTGCCAGCACGGGGCCCTCCCGGTCGCGATGGGTGCCTCTCCCCCGCAGCCCGGGGTCCCTCTGCGACACGTGATGCAGGTGCACACTCGCCGCCAGTGAAATCCGCTCACATCTCATCGGAAACCGGGCCGCAGCCTCCTAGCCCTGCTGTGACAGACCAAACGGGAGCAGGAATGTCACTCGCTTGCCAAACCGTCTGTCCCGGTCTAATCCCCAGGACAGTCGCGCAGCGCAGACGGCCTTCGCGGTCTCACCCCAGCGGGCATTTGCTGAGCTGGCGTCCTGTGACCATCGGGGGTGTGGGGATTCCCAGGCAGAGGCCACCTCTCTCTCAGCACAAACCATCAGGGTGACCTCGTGCCCACGCCCCGGCCATGGCCGGCCGGGGCCACCGGTGACGCTATGCTCTCCCCAGGTCGTGTGGATCACGGCCACCATGCCGTACGTGGTGCTGTTCGCCCTGCTTCTGCGAGGGATCACGCTCCCCGGAGCCGTGGACGGCATCAAAGCCTACCTGAGCGTGGACTTCCACCGGCTCCGCGAGGCGTCCGTGAGTATGCCCCCCGCACGGGGCCCGCGGTCCCCGCAGGCTGGCAGGCGCGGTGCCAGGGAGCTCCCCATGTTTGCGGGCAGGAGACCCCAACGGCAGCAGCCCTGCCAGCATTCCGCACTGCCCGGTAAGTCCAGCGGATGCCGGGCGCCGCGCTGCCCGCAGAGAGCACGTCAGGGCAGGAGGGGTCACGTGCGCACAGCGGGGCGCTGATGGACCGGACGAAGGAAGGTGGCGGAGCAGGTCGCCTGCTGGGTCTCTGCAGGGATAGAAGGGGCCACGCTGCCCGTCGCCCTCGCGTGCCGCGGACCTGCTTCCTGCAGGAAGGCAGCGGGCTGCCGGTCCCACGGGGCTCGGTCACGCACCGGGCATGCCGCCCTGAGCCCCGAGTCCCCGCTCGTCGGCCCGGCCAGGCTGAGGCCGGCCAGCATTGCCGGAACCGGGGCCCCCC